GGCGGTGGGAGGTGGTCGGCGAGCTGTCGCACCGATGGGGTTGGGATTGGTCCGCCGTCCAAACGAATCCCCAGTCGCAGCGGGCAGACCTGAGGCACGAGCAGGGCTGTTCCATTTCCTCTCTGACTGAAGTCTGCTACTCGTTTTCGGTCACCCTTTGACAGCCGCAAGGAATCGTTTCATTGCTCGACTCCCTCTCCCGTGTGAATTTTACTGCTCTCTGGTCTGGTCTCTTACTAGTCCTCTTACTTCCCGACAGCGACAAAATACCCACCTAACACAGTGCACGCGCCGGAGTGTTGCGGGCTTGCCAACCTTCTCCGACCGGAAGGGATCATGTAGAAAGTACGCCCGTCATTCGTCTTTACGCACCCACCGAGTTCAGCCTCTACTAGCTCTGATAGCGCCTGGTAGGTAGGCAACATCTTGGCTGCAGTGCACGCCTGCACTGCGGGCTGGCCTACCCCGACTCCAACAGGCGCCGAGCTCCAAAACTTTGCTAAATTAATTTTGAGGAAAAACGAACGTACTGTACTTTATTGGCGGCTTTTTAGTCGCAATGGAGCTTGAGCTTGCGGCCAATGTGGCCCGAAAGGGTGACATTCTAACCGAAGGGTAACAAGTCGCCAACTAAACATGTCGTCGTCAATGTATACATTTAGATTTTCATGCCAAAGTGTAAGTGACGCGAACTAATTAGCCGCATAATTTGTTTCAATTAAACGAACTTTCGCATGTTGCGTTATACTCTCTACCAATTGATGCGAATAGGTAATATCAATTCCAAGTACCGCGGGTTGAGGCTGCTGCGGATAGGGAGATAGAGAGGATACACGGGAAAGTTTCAAGTTGTCCCCGGGCGTCCCAGCTGAGCCCGCGGGCGGACTGGCCAGGTGGCGATGAAGTGCGAGACGCAGTGAAAGGGTGTTCACGGGACGGGGGAGAGCCGGGGACCCAGGCGTCTTTAATTAAGCTCTGAATGAAGAGCTCGGACCCGGAAGAGGATCATTGGTGACCCAAATACTTGCTTCATCCACCCATTTACCCGCATAGAAAACTAAATTCCTCCCCAAATATATAGAAATAACAAAACATACCTCTGCTGCCGGCGGAACAGTAGCTGGGGTTTGGGTCTTGTCCGGGCCTGAAACGGAAAAGGCTTTGATAATTGCGTTTTTCGTGGTGAAAAAGAACAAGCAATAAATGAGCGTGTATAAGAAACACGGTCGCAGTCAGGAATTAAAAGCTGACTTCGATTACCAACGTCAATTCGACGACGAAAATAGTTGGCCACAGAATAACTGCATTGAAATCGACTTGGATTGCGTGGTGACATCGACGTCAACGAGAAATCTGCGGCATTCAATTTCTAGCTGGGCATACAGAATAAAGCTTTCCTATGGCGATTCCGACTGGTGTTCCCGTCGCCTGCGCAATGTTTTCTGGACGCTGCTTTGTGTGCGTCAGCGTCTGTTGGCCGCGAACAACTCGCATGCACGACGGCGCCGCGTTGTACGACAAGGAACACGCCGCGTGGGCTTGTCTGGGGAGTGGGGTGGGGTGGGGCGGGAGCTTGTCTGGCAAGGCGAGGCGGCCAAGGCGGGCCGGGGGAGCCTTTCCCTTTGATTCAGCAGCGAAGCCGGAGGGGCTGCTGGCTTAGGGTGGGGCGTGCGCGGCGCTGAAGCCAGGGCAGTGCCTCTCGCCTCCCGCCCGCCCGCCGCGAGACCAAGCCCTCCGCGCGCAGACCGGCTCGGGCGCCGCTCCCGCCACCAGAGGCCCAGGGGCAGACTGATGTGCACAATCTGGCACAAGTCCGAAAAGAACGTCATGTCATTCGAGCCGAAGGAAGTACTAAGCCCGTACGCCACTTATACAGTACCAAAGACTCCCTCTACTACCAGGAAGTCTCCTCTTCCTTCTAGGGCCGCACGAGCGGTGCGACGTACACATGGCGTTTGTGCCGTTTGGAGCAGGCCACGATTCACTCTTGAGGAGCATGTTCAACCTGCACCGTGCACCCGGCTTCGAGGAATATTTTGAAGCTTTTTAGACTGAGGCAGCTATCGTGGGATGTATGAAAAACTCAGAGGGGAGCCTTGAGGGGGGACTGTGTTTTATTGCGCTTATAAACATAGAACATTTTAAGCAGCCATGGAGAAATGCAAAATTATTTGTTATGCTATTACGAAGAAATTGCACAGAACTCGGTAGGAATTGTAAATACACTGTGAAAATTACCATCGAAAATTGACTACATTTTTTGTGATTTTTATTGTCAAAATATGTAAGTATGAAAGTGGACGAGAGCCATTTCTTACTTATCTTGTCGATCAATTCCACGTCGATACGAAGAAGTGCTTGTAAATTTACAAATTCAAATTGTAATTTTACACACTATGGACAGAAAATGTACCCGTAAACCTACGACTATTTTTCACAGGGTAGTTACGCATGAAATTGTAGACACAAGCTCAAGCTAAAGGCTATTACAATACTACTGCTTTTTCACGTGGTGATCAAGGTTTAGTGTGACTTTGTGATGTGTACTCCGCGAATTCCGCTGGGATGTCATACCGACGTGCCCCTCTCCCCCCGCTTCTTTCCTGAACCACACTCGCAAGACAAAAGAGAAACACGCCGCTCCGCCCGCACTCGGCGACGCGCACCGTTTGCAGCCTACTCTGCTCTCTCTCCCTAAAGTTTGAGTGGGGCGGAGAAAAGTGACAGCGCGGGGAGACCCGGGGGAAGACGTGGAGTGGCGGAGCGCGGCGTTCAAAGAAAAAGAAAGAGCCTGGGATATTAGGGCGGGGGCAGCAGCGGAGGAGGAGCGCGAAAGGTGGAGGGGAATGCTGGAGAGGGGGGGGGGGACGCCGGCGGATATGGGTGTAGGGG